TCGTACGGTCTCTCCATATAATTTGACCTTATTTCACCTATTAAAGTGTTGTTGTTATCGTGAGTGCATTGGAATGTTTTTAATTAGTAGTTTGATTGACTGGCAGCTAAAAACAGAGAGCTTTTATTGCTGCTACTTATGAGAACATAGCTCTTATGTACACACACACGCACACACAGTTATTTATTATTATTTAGTCATTTAGCAGACGCTCTTATCCAGAGCGACTTACAGGAGCAATTAGGGTTAAGTGCCTTGCTCAAGGGCACATCGACAGATTTTTCACATAGTCGGCTCGGGGATTAGAACCAGCGACCTTTCGGTTACTGGCACAACGCTCTTAACCACTAAGCTACTGTTGCTGCTGAGGCTGTAAACACAATGGCATCAAAGGTAATAAAACTGGAATAGACGAGCACATTGTAAAAATATATCCTTATAGATGAACTCCAGGCCTATATAGTGCCAAGTGTTTTTCCTGGTTAGGTCAGAGCCTTATTTTTGGCTCTGCATGGGTCAACTCCTGGCCCACTTGACATAAGCGAACCCTATAAACATATCAGTCATTCCGTGAGTCCTTATATAATTATTGTCCGATAAACAAATTATTTTTAGATACAGATCAAAATATTGTCCTCCCTTGTTCTGTACTGTTCTGTCCTCTGCTGTCCCCCTATCTGTCCTGTCCTGTCAGCCTATGTCCTGTTCTGTCCTCTGCTGTCCCCCTTTCTGTCCTGTCCTGTCAGCCTATGTCCTGTTTTGTCCTCTCCTGTCCTCTCCTGTCTTGCCATCAGTATTGTTATAGTCAAGGTCAAGAAATGGAAGAATGACTGGTTTCTCTGTTGCAGAGATTGTGCTGATCAGCAGGAAGCTGTAAGTGAATTGTGTTAGAAATGTTATCATCACATGATGTCTGTCTGTCAACCTTTCGCTTCTACTACTACAGTTTACTACAGTGGCTGTGTCCCAAATGACAACCTATTCACTACAGAGTGCAATACATTAGGGTATCATTTGGGACACAGCCAGCTTCTCCTTTTAGATGTTTAACAACACACCCAGAGACATGAGACCTCCATGTTATCACACCCAGAGACATGAGACCTCCATGTTATCACACCCTTAAACATGAGACCTCCATGTTATCACACCCTTAAACATGAGACCTCCATGTTAACACACCCAGAGACATGAGACCTCCATGTTATCACACCCAGAGACATGAGACCTCCATGTTATCACACCCAGAGACATGAGACCTCCATGTTATCACACCCAGAGACATGAGACCTCCATGTTATCACACTCTTAAACATGAGACCTCCATGTTATCACACCCTTAAACATGAGACCTCCATGTTATCACACCCTTAAACATGAGACCTCCATGTTATCACACCCAGAGACATGAGACCTCCATGTTATCACACCCTTAAACATGAGACCTCCATGTTATCACACCCAGAGACATGAGACCTCCATGTTATCACACCCAGAGACATGAGACCTCCATGTTATCACACCCAGAGACATGAGACCTCCATGTTATCACACCCAGAGACATGAGACCTCCATGTTATCACACCCTTAAACATGAGACCTCCATGTTATCACACCCTTAAACATGAGAATTACATGTTAGCACACCCTTAAACATGAGAATTACATGTTATCACACCCTTAAACATGAGAATTACATGTTATCACACCCTTAAACATGAGACTTACATGTTATCACACCCAGAGACATGAGACCTCCATGTTATCACACCCAGAGACATGAGACCTCCATGTTATCACACCCTTAAACATGAGACCTCCATGTTATCACACCCAGAGACATGAGACCTCCATGTTATCACACCCAGAGACATGAGACCTCCATGTTATCACACCCTTAAACATGAGACCTCCATGTTATCACACCCAGAGACATGAGACCTCCATGTTATCACACCCAGAGACATGAGACCTCCATGTTATCACACTCTTAAACATGAGACCTCCATTTTATCACATCCTTAAACATGAGACTTACATGTTATCACACCCTTAAACATGAGACTTACATGTTATCACACCCTTAAACATGAGACTTACATGTTATCACACCCTTAAACATGAGAATTACATGTTAGCACACCCTTAAACATGAGAATTACATGTTATCACACCCTTAAACATGAGAATTACATGTTATCACACCCTTAAACATGAGACCTCCATGTTATCACACCATTAAAAATGAGACCTCCATGTTATCACACCCTTAAACATGAGAATTACATGTTATCACACCCTTAAACATGAGACTTACATGTTATCACGCCCTTAAACATGATAAAAAAAATTAAAAGGTGGATACCTAGTCAGTTGTACTACTGAATGCATTCAACTGAAATGTGTGTTCCGCATTTAACCCAACCCATCTGAAGCAGAGAGATGCTGGGGGGCTGCCTTAATCGACATCCGAGTCATCGGCGCCCGGGGAACAGTGGGTTAACCGCCTTGGTCAGGGGCAGAACGACAGATGTTTACCTTGTCAGCTCAGGGATTCCATCCAGCAACCTTTTGGTTACTGGCCCAACACTCCTACCCGCCAGGCTACCTGAGACCTCCATGTTATCCGATAGCTCCAATCCAAAGTCCAACTCCCTAATGCCTAACAATAAGAATAATGGGTTCGATCCCCGGGACCACCCATACATAAAAATGTATGCACGCATGACTGTAAGTCGCTTTGGATAAAACCGTCTGCTAAGTGGCATATTATATTATTATATTATAAGAATCACAGGGATAAGGGTCGTAGTAAATGATCTGGCTTCTAATCCATGTCATTCCCTCCTGTCCTAGAAAATACACGCAAGCTACACCCCTCCACCCGGGCGAAGTGCCATACATGTCCAATTCATTAACTAGTGAGCCAGGCCTAGTAATAGTATTACTACAACAAGATAACTGAGCCGCTTTCAAGTTCAAAGGGTTTTACAGTTCAGAAACAGAGATGTAGTTTGTTGACAAGGCATCCTATCTAGTGGGACCCCAAACAGACAGACAGGCAGGCAGAAACACACAGACACAGATACATACATACACACGCTCATGCACACATCACACACATACACACAAACACACCCCACACCACCACACACACACATTCATACACGTAGTACACACAAATAGCCCAACACACACACATACACACACACACAACAACATACAACAACAACAACACACACAAAAACAAAAAACACACACACATACATACAACATAGACACACACAAACACACACACACACATACCACACACACAAACAACACACACACAACACAACACACAAACACAAGACACACAACAACACACACACAATACACACACACCACACACACACACACAAAAACACAACAACACACACACAACACACAAACCACAAAACAAACACACACACACACACACAATTCAAACAAAAATCACACACAACACACACACAACACACACAACAGCACACACACACACACAAACACACAAACACAACACACAACAAACACAACACACAACACACACATATACACACACACACACAAACACACACACACTCAAACACACACACACACACACACACATACACACACACATACATACATACACACACATACACACACACACATATATACATACACACAAACACACACACACACACACATACACACCAACACACACATACACACACACACACCTACATACACACAAACACACACACATACACACACATACATACACACAACCCCCCCCCACACACACACACAGTATGTGTGACTCTGTGCCAACAGCCCGAGCCTAAACTTGCCGACTTCACCTGCCCATACCAGCCCAATGTTACTCCTAAATATAGTCCCACTGGTTTTCCCCACCACCAAGCTGTCGAATCATGGACATATTTACCCTCTCAACTACTCTTGCCAGCCTACAGTGCAACAGGCCAGGGTGGTCAAAATATTATTGGTTTTCATATATTTAATGACTTTAAGTGGGGTTAATTTAGTTTGCCTTGCAAGTCGGATGTGCCATTGCGCTGGGAAAAGCTAAATTAAGCTCACCATAAAGTATCTGAAAGAAATCAAATAGCCTAGCCTACTACTTTGACCCAATCTAGTGAACCATGTGGATTCATTAAACACACTGCACTGATGCAATACAGACCATTAGATACAAGCCTGGAGAAGGAGAGTGACTCATTCATACTGGCCTCTAACCATAACCAATCTCTGTTTCTGTAAATGATTAGTGTGTCTCAGCCATGGAGCCACACCCTTTTCTGCACATTTCCTGCTCTTTCTATAGTGACTGGAGGTCAAGGGTAGTGGACACAGCAAAAAACAACATTGGGCTTTTTCACTTGCACATGGCTGTGTATCGCTGTGTATTCTGTCGTTGAAGAACACAGAATAGAATATTCATAACAACAATAACAAACCTACTCACAAATCTCAGGATAGACAGAATAGAATAGCTTTATTTTCAGTAAAAACCCTACTCAATGAGACTGTAGGTCACAGTCATATTTCCCCTAATATCATGACCAGCTTGAGCAATAGCAGATCTGATCTTGACTACACTATTGTTATCTTGCATAATATCTATATGATATATGTATATCTAATCTTCATAATCCTGTTCTCGTCCCTATCATCAGGTAGACCATTGGGGACTTCCCTGGAGAGAATTATCAAGCTATTTATTTTATTCTCTTCTAGGAAGCCCATGATGCCGACAGAGCTCCGGTATCAGCTGGTGGGGGCGTGTGTGTGTGTATGTGTGTGTGTGTGTGTGTGCGTGTGCATGTGTGTGACCGCTATGCTGACTGAGTTCCAGTGACAGGTGGAAAAAATCGGAGCTTCGAACACTATGCAAATCTAGCACAGGAGGACTCCACTCCGATTGGGCATAGTTCCGGAGTACAGTAGAAGCTAATTTGCTACAGTAAAACGGACCGATTGGACTGAGTTGTGCCACGAGGTGTGACAGGAATAGTGACGCTGTGCTGAATCCTTTATATGCCAGGCAGAGACACTCTATCAATGAAGTGGTAAATGGTGGGAACATTGTCGCAATAAAGACAAAGAAAATAAGGAAGAAATGACTTTTTAGAAGCCTTTGTTTTGTTTTTACTGGGGTTCCTTTCTTCGTCTAAAAACCGACATAAAGTAGTTCCTTCTACAGGCCCGAGATCAAGACATCATCATGAAGTTCATCATAGGTATTGGCGGGTAAGTCATATCTAACGAATATTCATATTAAAAACAAGTTGACTATTTTACTATTCGTTATGACGGTAAGAACATAATTCGATGTGTCTAACATTGATAGTACCAAACATGTGTTTCTGTAGAATGAACTTAATGGTCCACAGAAGATCAAGTGGACCCAAGATAAGTTATAGAAAATGATATTCATTGTGTTTTTCATTATTCTGTCTAGCGTGACCAACGGTGGGAAAACCACTCTGACCAATAAATTGATCCAGACGTTGCCCAACTGTTGTGTGATACATCAGGACGACTTTTTTAAGGTAAGACGCTTCATCACATGTATGTCTCTCAGCCTCAGAGTGCGTGCTGTTGAGCAACCGCTTTGATTTGACTCATATCATTATTTTAAAGTCATAACATCGTGTTTACTTATTTTACTATCGGTTTTTGTGTGATCTAAAACTAACAGATTGTATAGCCAACAGTAGCCTATTTCATTGGAGTTACAAATAAAGCAAATCTGGCCTAGGACTCTTAATAACGTGGGCCACCTACTGGTGACACGTCAGTAAAGGATACACAGGCATAGATAGAGCTACAGTAATGCCACCTGCAGATATAATGTGCTTAACTACTAATACATTTGGCTCATTGTCTCCTGAACAACCAATGAAATTGTTGAAATGTTCACGTTCGTTTGAAGTCAAACGTTGCGTTCACCTTTCATGTGGTGCAACAATCTTTTTTACTGCATGACAGTTGTCAATGTTCATTTTGGCTTTGAACATTTTTGATTCACCCATAACGATCCATATACTCTGTGCTGTCAATGTCAACAACTTATTGCAAACTAAGGATCATAAAAAATAAAAAATAAAGGGTTTATTTTTATTTAAACGTCAGTGGCTGAATATCACTGACTTTCAACGGCTGACACCATGTACCCTCTCCAGTACGACGGCAGTGCCCTGCCCACATGTTGAGCAGTTAGGCCATGTGCCAGCAGCGTGGTTGGGGTCAATTCTATTTAAATTCAGTCAATTCAGGAATTGGAGTTGGATTTCGGAATTTAGAATTGGAAATGGATTTGGAATTTCAATTTACTTCCTGATCCCCATCCCTGGCCCGTCTACGGCATTATTTACGGTACACTGAGGGTGCAGGTTAGCCTTTAGCTGGCATCGTTAGCTCAGCTCATGTCCAGGTGTGATCAGCACTGACTGGTTACTCTTCTGTCATCACCTTGAGGTTGCAGCAATGTTTTCTTGGTGACTGTTATTTCAGAAACCCGATCAGATAGAAGTTGGGGAGGACGGCTTTAGGCAGTGGGATGGTAAGAGTTGGATTCGCTGTAGGAATGAAAACAGACACTACGAGTAATGTACTCTTTCCCTTTAATTGACATCTTCAAAAGTTTCCTCTGATACTCTTGTAATAGACAACAATTTACCTACAATTTTTAAAATCTTTTTTTTTTTTTAAACAATAATTCTGTGAACGCTACGCCATTTACTAGACCTGACTGTTGTGTTTTTTGAAGCACATTGGCTGCTGTGCTGTTTTAGTTCCCTGGTGGTGAAGCGTATCGTTCCGTCTATTTCCTGTTCTCCTAGTGATCACATCCTTGGATATGGAGGCCATGGTTAACACTGTAGAGGGATGGCAAGAGAACCCAGTGAAGTTCGCCCGCTCCCACGGCGTCAGCGTCACACCTGAAGCACAGGACTCAGACCCTGATAACGGTGTCCACATCCTCATCGTGGAAGGGTTTCTGCTCTATAACTACAAGTATGTTGTTTTACGAAAAACATTTATCAGACACTCCTGTCCGGAGACAACAACATTTAGCCTGAGTTAGTCTGTAGTTAGACTCTCTCTCTCTCTCTCTCTCTGTCTCAGTGTCTCTCTCTGTCTCAGTGTCTCTCTCTCTCTCTCTGTCTCAGTGTCTCTCTCTGTCTCTCTGTCTCAGTGTCTCTCTCTCTCTCTCTCTCTCTCTCTCTCTCTCTCTCTCTCTCTCTCTCTCTCTCTCTCTCTCTCTCTCTCTCTCTCTCTCTCTCTCTCTGTCTCAGTGTCTCTCTCTCTCTGTCTCAGTGTCTCTCTCTCTCTCTCTGTCTCAGTGTCTCTCTCTCTCTCTCTCTGTCTCTCTCTCTCTCTCTCTCTCTCTTCCTTTCGAGGACAATAATGTTAATCTTATCTTATCAAACTATATACTATACTTTATCAACTAGAGTTAACTAGAGTTTTTCACAAGCTTTTCTTGGAACTCACGTCTTGTTCTGAAAAACAGTTTGTTTGTTTCCCACAGGCCTATTGTTGATGTCTACGACAAGTGCTTCTACATTGTCATTCCAAAAGAGGAGTGCAAGAGCAGGAGAAGTACAAGGAACTACACAGTCCCTGACCCCCCTGGTCTGTTCGAAGGCCATGTCTGGCCCATGTACCTGAAACACAGGAAAGAGATGGAAAACAACTACCATGGTATAGGTATGTACTGGACACTGCTGCAGAGTTCATATAATGTTTGTTATTATTATCAATTATTATAATATATTATAATATATGTGTGTATTTAACTTTTCCACTATTTTCACTGTGGTTTATAAAGACTAAATTTTTTTGGCATTTTGCCCCCTCAGAGTACCTTGATGGCTTGAAACCTAAAGAGGAGATCTACCGCCAGGTGTATGAAAACATACAAAACACCCTGCTCAACAACTTATAGGTAAATATCTCCATACAAAACACCCTCCTCAACAACTTATAGGTAAATATCTCCATACAAAACACCCTGCTCAACAACTTATAGGTAAATAAATAAATATATTGGATCACTTACGTGTACACATAATTCGCCATTAATTTATCGCATGCTAATAATTGTTACATCTCTCTCTTCCACAGCAGGACCAGGGAGTCTGAAGACTTGTGTATAAACTTGTAAATAATAATATTGTGCAACATTATTACCATACTACTGCCTGAAGTTAATATTGATCTGTAAATAGTTTAAGGCCTAACTTATTTCAAAACTGAACGGCAGAAGCATTGAATTTTGTATAATCAAAATGTAACCTTTTCTAAGAAGATTTACCAACTGGACTGCCCAGTGTTGAAACACATGAAGAACAGGTCTATGTGCTTGCCCAACTGGACTGCCCAGTGTTGAAACACATGAAGAACAGGTCTATGTGCTTGCCGTGTATTCATGGTCAAAAATCATCCCACACTGGGAGGAAGGATTGTGTCTACAACGTAAAGAGACATATTAATCCAACTACTGTGTTCTGTGGTTATTCTCAATCCAATGAACTTCAATTTACAGCTTTCTAAACAAGGAAATGTGGCAACACAAGACTACCATCCAGTAAATGCACTGTATATTACGGTGAGAGCATTTAGTAGATCAAACTATTTTTTTTCACTATAGAAACATATACAGCTTTGCATCTTCAGCTATATCATTTTGTACCCTGAAGACAGATTCAAGATCAACACAAATGCCTAGTCTCCGTTTTTACGTCATACCCCGCTGCGCTGATACCACCCTGAACTGTTGAAGCTTTAGCATTCAGGAAAGGGAAAGAAACCCAAACAGTTTTTTTATTCCTGATGAATATTGGACATTGAACCAAAAACTCTCCACAAACAACAACACCTAAAAAATATAAATAAACTACCTCTACTGTACAGTAGTTGTAACTAGTCCATAATGACGCAGTGCCTGCCTACGTAACGATCACGTAAATACAGAGACATCTGGGGGAAAAAAACAGTTTAAAAAAAAAGTTGTCATTGCTGATGATTCATGTTTTCTTTTAAATCCACAACTTGAATCCCTCCACAGCCTCATAGAGGATCTAGATACATTTTCTAACCTGTCTGGATTACAACCAAAATATGATAAATGTATTATATTACGTATTGGATCACTAAAAAATACAATTTTTACATTACCATGTAGTTTACCAATAAAATGGTCTGATTGTGATGTGGATATACTCGGAATCCATATCCCAAATGAAATAAATGATCTCACTCCCAATACATTTTAATAGAAAGTTAGCAAAAATAGATAAGATCTTCCTACCATGGAAAGGTACCTGTCTATTTGTGGAAAAATCACCCTGATTAACTCTTTAGTATTATCCCAGTTTACCTATTTGCTTATGGTCTTGCCTACGCCTAGCGAACAGTTTTTTTTAATTATATGAGAAATAAATATTCCATTTGATTTGGAACGGCAAGCCAGACAAAATTAAACGGGCTTATTTATATAATGAATATGAATTCGGAGGACAGAAATTATTAAATATTAAAGCATTAGACCTATCACTGAAAGCTTCAGTCATACAAAAGTTATACTTAAATCCGAACTGGTTCTCTAGCAAATTAGTAAGATTGTCTCACCCCATGTTCAAGAATGGCATGTTCAAGAATGGCACCGGATCTAGCTAGCCGCAACCAAATGGATGTCGAATGGATGTTGCTGTAGGCTAATCTCCCGGATATCTACCTCTCTGTCAACCAGACGGGACCTCCTAGAGTCGACACGGAGCTCTGCCGATCCATCACGACTTGTCTGCCGACGTAATCGTCTGTGGTTTCAACAGGCTTCCCATTGCGACGACCACGAAGATCCATCTGCTAGCCCCGGCCCGCTAGCACACGCAAACAACAACCGTGCTTCCTGCTTGCTGTGCTGAAGCACCAATTTGAACTGCTCTCGGACTCACATATTGCTGTTCACTGGACCTTATGATCACTCAGCTGCACAGCTGATGCCTGCTGGACCGTTCCTTTACACGGTACCCTGTCCTGTTTACTCTGTTTAGCCTCAGCCCAAACTTTATTGCCATTACCAGTTGTTGTCTTAGCTCTCTCTAATAACACCTGTGATTGCTTTATGCCTCTTTCCTATGTCAATATGCCTTGCCTATTGCTGTTCCAGTTAGTTCTTATTATACAATTTCACTGTAGAACCCCAAGTCCCTCTCAAACTGCCTCAAATAGTTCCTTTGTTCCACCCCCCATACATGCCGAGACCGGCTCAATTGGTGCCTCCAGTGATGCTATCTCTTTCATTGTTACCCAACGCTTAGGTTTACCTCCACTGTACTCATATCCTTCCATATCCTTGTCTGTACATAATGCCCTGAATCTATTCTACAACGCCCGGAAATCTGCCCCCTTTATTCTCTGTACCCAACGCACTAGAAGACCAGTTCTTAAAGCCTTTAGCCGTATCCTTATTCTAGTCCTCCTCTGGTGATGTAGAGGCTAACCCAGGCCCTGCAGCCCCCAGTATAACTCCTACTCCCCAGGAGCTATCATTTGTTGACTTCTGTAACCGTAAAAGCCTTGGTTTTCTGCACGTTAACATCAGAAGCCTCCTTCCTAAGTTGTAGTTATTCACTGCGTTAGCACACTCCGCCAACCCTGATGTTCTAGCAGTGTCTGAATCCTGGCTTAGGAAGGCCACCAAAAATTCTGAAATGTCCATCCCCAACTACAACATTTTCCGTCTAGATAGAACTGCCAAAGGGGGTGGAGTTGCAATCTACTGTAGAGATAGCCTGCAGAACTCTATCATACTATCCAGGTCTGTGCCCAAACAGTTTGAGCTTCTACTTCTAAAAATCCACCTTTCCAGAAATAAGTCTCTCACTGTTGCCGCTTGCTACAGACCCCCCTCAGCCCCCAGCTGTGCCCTGGACAACATATGTGAATTGATTGCCCCCCATTTATCCTCAGAGTTCGTACTGCTTGCTGACCTAAATTGGGATATGCTTAACACCCCGGCCATCCTACAATCCAAACTAGATGCCCTCAATCTCACACAAATTATCAACGAACCTACCAGGTACAACACTAAATCCGTAAACATGGGTAACCTCATAGATATCATCCTGACTAACTTACCCTCTAAATACACCTCCGCTGTCTTCAACCAGGATCTCAGCGATCACTGCCTTATTGCCTGCGTCCGTAACAGGTCCGCGGTCAAACGACCACCCCTCAGCACTGTCAAACGCTCCCTAAAACACTTTAGCGAGCAGGCCTTCCTAATTGACCTGGCCCAGGTATCCTGGATGGATATAGATCTCATTCCGTCAGTAGAGGATGCCTGGTTGTTCTTTAAAAGTAATTTCCTCTCAATCTTAAATAAACATGCCCCATTCAAAAAATACAGAACAAAGAACAGATATAGCCCCTGGTTCTCCTCAGACTTGACTGCCCTTGACCAGCACAAAAACATCCTGTGGCGTACTGCATTAGCATCAAATAGCCCCCGCGATATGCAACTTTTCAGGGAAGTTAGGAACCAATATACACAAGCAGTTAGGAAAGCAAAGGCTAACTTTTTCAAACAGAAATTTGCATCCTGTAGCACTCTCCAAAAAGTTTTGGGACACTGTAAAGTCCATGGAGAATAAGAGCACCTCCTCCCAGCTGCCCACTGCACTGAGGCTAGGAAACACTATCACCACCGATAAATCTACAATAATCGAGAATTTCAACAAGCATTTTGCTACGGCTGGCCATGCTTTCCACCTGGCTACCACTACCCCGGCCACCAACTCTGCACCCTCCGCTGCAACTTGCCCATGCCCCACCTGCTTCTCCTTCACACAAATTCAGACAGCTGATGTTCTGAAAGAGCTGCAAAATCTGGACCCCTACAAATCATCTGGGCTATACAATCTGCATCCTTTCTTTCTAAAACTAGCCGCCGAAATTGTCGCAACCCCTATTACTAGCCTGTTCAGCCTCTCTTTCGTAACGTCTGAGATCCCCCAGAGATTGGAAAGCTGCCGCGGTCATCCCCCTCTTCAAAGGGGGTGACACTCTAGATCCAAACTGTTACAGACCTATATCCATCCTGCCCTGCCTTAACAAACAGATCACCAACCATTTCGAATCCCACCGTACCTTCTCCGCTATGCAATCCGGTTTCCAAGCTGGTCATAGGTGCACCTCAGCCACACTCAAGGTCCTAAACGATATTATAACTGCGATCGATAATAGACAGTACTGTGCAGCCGTCTTCATCGACCTGGCCAAGGCTTTCGACTCTGTCAACCACCACATTCTTATTGGCAGACTAAATAGCCTTGGTTTCTCAAATGACTGCCTTGCCTGGTTCACCAACTACTTCTCAGATAGAGTTCAATGTGTCAAATCAGAGGGCCTGTTGTCTGGACCTATGGCAGTCTCTATGGGGGTGCCACAGGGTTCAATTCTTGGGCCGACTCTTTTCTCTGTGTAGATCAATGATGTCGCTCTTGCTGCTGGTGACTCTCAGATCCACCTCTACGCAGACGACACCATTTTGTATACATCTGGCCCTTCATTGGACACTGTGTTAACGAACCTCCAAACGAGCTTCAATGCCATACAACACTCCTTCAGTAGCCTCCAACTGCTCTTAAACACTAGTAAAACTAAATGCATGCTCTTCAATCGAACGCTGTTGGCACCCGCCCACCCGACTAGAATCACTACTCTCGACGGGTCTGACCTAGAGTATGTGGACAACTACAAATACCTAGGTGTCTGGTTAGACTGTAAACTCTCCTTCCAGACTCACATTAAGCATCTCCAATCCAAAGTTAAATCTAGAATCGGCTTCCTATTTAGCAACAAAGCCTCCTTCACTCATGCTGCCAAACATGCCCTCGTAAAACTGACTATCCTACCGATCCTTGACTTCGGCGATGTCATTTACAAAATAGCCTCCAACACTCTACTCAGCAAATGGATGTAGTCTATCACAGTGCCATCCATTTATCCCACAACCTCTACCAACTGAGCTACATCCCTGCCGGCCATTCCCTCCCCTACCCTGGACGAATTGTGCACTGCCCCATGGGTCTCCCGGTCACGGCTGGCTACGACAGAGTCTGGATTCGAACCAGGATCTCTAGTGGCACAGCCAGCACTGCGATGCAGTGCCTTAGACCACTGCGCCACTCGGGAGGACACAGTGCCATCCATTTTGTCACCAAAGCCCCATACACTACCCACCATTGTGACCTGTACGCTCTTGTTGGCTGGTCCTCACTACATATTCGTCGCCAAACCCACTGGCTCCAGGCCATCTATAAATCACTGCTAGGCAAATCCCCGCCTTATTTTAGCTCATTGGTCACCATAGCAACACCCACCCGTAGTATGCGCTCCAGCAGGTATATCTCACTGGTCATCCCCAAAGCCAAACACCTCCTTTGGCCGCCATTCCTTCCAGTTCTCTGCTGCCAATGACTGGAACGAATTGCAAAAATCTCTGAAGCTGGAGACTCTTATCTCCCTCACTA